CCACTCTGCCTGCTGGGGGCTGGGGCTGCAGTCTGTTCTGCTGCGCCGTGTTGTCAGCTGTCTGTAAGAAGAGGAAGACCGAATCTTTATGGTGTATTCATCTGCTCACACACAGGCTGATTCCGATCTGGTAGATCAACAAAATCTTCCCAATAGATGAGGCAACTTTCAAGGATCGAGCCCCTGGTTGATCATTATTATCAAAGAATTAAAGTGATAGAACATAACCAGCGGTGGACTGACAACTCATGGGGCCCCCGGGCAATAGGGGATCATGGGGCCCCTGTGTCCTTGCCCAAACTCAAAAATCCTATGAAAAAGGTACCAGGGGCATCTCATGGGGCCCCCTAATGACCCCGGGCCCTCGGGCAGTGCCCGAGTTTCCAAATGGTCAGTCCGCCCCTGAACATAACATGCTGAGGTGCCACGTTGAGGCTTATGATGCTGTGAAAAACTATTTTGCCCTTTTACTGACCTTTTTTTTTTTTGCATATTTGTCACACCTAAATAATTCAGATCAGCGAATAAAAGTGTAATATTACACAAAGATAACCCAAGTAAATACAAAATGCAGTTTTTAAATGTCCAAACCTGCCTGGCCCTATTTGAAAAAGTGATTGAAACCCCCCCTCTTCTTAGATAAATCATGAATGAACTGTGATTAACCACATTTTTTAGACAGCTGAGTTAAATTAGAAGCTGTCTAATAAAGTGAAGCACACTAAAAGATCTCAAAAAGCAACACATCATGCCATGATCTAAAGAACTTCAAGAACAGATGGAGAAAAAAAAAGTAATTGACATGTATCAGTCTGGAAAGGGTTACAAAGCCATTCTTAAGGCTTTGGGATCTACAGTGAACCACGATGAAAGCCATTATCCACAAATGGAGAACAGTGGTGAACCTTCCCAGGAGCTGGCATACCAAAATAACTCCAAAAGCACACCAACGACTCATCCAGGAGGTCATAAAAGAACCCAGAACAACATCCAAAGAACTGCAGGCCTCAGTTCAGGTCAGTGTTCATGATTCAATAATAAGAAAGAGCGGGCAAAAATGGCCTCCGTGGGAGAGTTCCAAGGTGAAAACCACTGACCAAAAAGAACACAAAGGCTCATCTCACATTTGCCAAAAAACATCTCGATTATTTCCAAGACTTTTGGGAAAATATTCTGTGGACTGATGACACAAAAGTTGAATTTTTTGGAAGGTGTGTGTCCCGATACATCTGGCGTAAAGCAAACGCAAGTATTCCATAAAAATATCATACCAACAGTCAAACATGGAGGTGGTAGTGTGATGGTCTGGGGTTGCTTTGCAGCTTCAGGACCTGGACAACTTAATTGATGGAACCATGAATTCTGCACTCTGCCAGAAAATCCTGAAGGAGGATGTCTGGCCATCAGTTCTTGACCTAAAGCTCAAGTGCACTTGGGTTATGCAGGGGGGGGGGGGGGGGAATTACTTTTTCACATAAAGCCAGGCAGGTTTGGACAGCTTTATTTCCCTTTAAACAATTAGATCATCATTTCAGAATTGCATTAGTTATTTACTCAGGTTATCTTTGTATAATATCATCATTTAAGAATCATTTAAGTGTGACAAATATGCAAAAAAAATAAAAACAGCAGGAAGGGGGCAAATACTTTTTCACAGCACTGTATGTCTTTTTCATTGTAACTCCATGTGGAATGGCAAACTACAGCTTTACAACAGGCCCTGACTGACCTCTGTACCTGCTGGCACTGTGAAATAATTCAATCTAGGTATACTATAGAAGCAAGGATTTTATTCAGCATTCTGTTTTCTCGCCTCCCACTCCCAGAGCAACTGATTTGTGTTTATGTTAGAGATTAAAAGACTGATAGGCTGTCAGCTTGATGCTGGAGAGCAGGGGATGCTGAGCTGCCAAGTCACTGCTGGGAGGGGTGCTGAGCTGCTGTGCCACTGCTTGCAGGGTGGAGCAGGCTAAGCTGACTTGCTGCTAAAGCACGGTGAGCTAAACTCCCCCTGCTGGGAGTGGAGTAGGGTGAGCTGAGATGCCGAGTCCCTGCTGGGGGTGGAGTAGGGTGAGCTGGGCTGCTGAGTCCCTGCTGGGTGGAAGTAGGGTAAGCTGGGCGGAAGTAGGGTAAGCTGGGCTGCTGAGTCCCTGCTGGGTGGGTAGTAGGGTGAGCTAAACTGCTGAGTCCCTGCTGGGTAGGTAGTAGGGTGAGCTAAACTGCTGAGTCCCTGCTGGGAGTGGAGTAGGGTGAGCTGGGCTGCCGAGTCCCTGCTGGGAGGGGAGTAGGGTAAACTGGGCTACCGAGTCCCTGCTGGGAGGGGAGTAGGTTGAGCTGGGCTGCCGAGTCCCTGCTGGGAGAGGAGTAGGTTGAGCTGGGCTGCCGAGTCCCTGCTGGGAGGGGAGTAGAGTGAGCTGAGCTGCCGAGTCCCTGCTGGGAGTGGTGTAGGGTGAGCTGGGCTGCCGAGTCCCTGCTGGGAGTGGAGTAGGGTGAGCTGGGCTGCCGAGTCCCTGCTGGGGGTGGAGTAGGATGAGCTGGACTGCCGAGTCCCTGCTGGGAGGGGAGTAGGGTGAGCTGAGCTGCCGAGTCTCTGCTGGGTGGGAGTAGGGTGAGCTGGGCTGCTGAATTCCTGCTGGGAGGGAAGTAGGGTGAGCTGAGCTGCCGAGTCCCTGCTGGGCGGGGAGAAGGGTGAGCTGGTCTGCCAAGTCCCTGCTGGGGGGTAGTAGGGTGAGCTGGGACGCCGAGTGCCTGTTGGGGGGTAGTAGGGGAGCTGGGCTGCCGAGTCCCTGCTGGGGGTAGAGTACGGGGAGCTGGGCTGCCGAGTCCCTGCTGGGAGGGGAGTAGGGTGAGCTGAGCTGCCGAGTCCCTGCTGGGAGGGAGTAGGGTAAGCTGGGCTGCCGAGTCCCTGCTGGGAGGGGAATAGGGTGAGCTGAGCTGCTGAGTTCCTGCTGGGTGGGAGTAGGGTGAGCTGGGCTTCTGAGTCCCTGCAGGGAGGGAGTAGGGTAAGCTGGGCTGCTGAGTCCTTGCTGGGAGGGGAGTAGGGTGAGCTGAGCTGCTGAGTCCCTGCGGGGGGGAGTAGTAGGGTGAGCTGAGCTGCTGGGTCCCTGCTGGGGGGGTAGTAGGGTGAGCTGAGCTGCTGAGTTCCTGCTGGGTGGGAGTAGGGTGAGGGTTCCCACATTGCAAAGGTGTGTGCTCAGCTTCTCTCTCCTACCCCAGTGCCTGCCTCCCCCCCCAATATCGTTTTTCTGCCCTCTTGTATGTATCTCACCATCCACCATGTCTGTCTTACCCCAGTGCCCCCCCCCCCCCCATGTCTCTATCTGCCCTCTTGCCTGTCTCTCCCCCATCTCTAGCCTCTTTCTTACCCCAGTGCCCCCTGTGTCTTTCTGCCCCCCCCCCCCCCCCCCCCCCCCCCAGGTGTCTCTCTGCTGTACAGTGCTCTCGGTTGGATGCACTTTCTCTCCTCTCACCCCCCCCCCCCCCCCTCTCTCTCTCTCCACTTATTAGTGGATTGTAATTTGTTATTATTTGGTTGAAGTCGGGATTTTCTGTATCATTAGGCAGCTGATTGCGGCTCACCATCTGGCTGTGACAACAGATCTCCTTCCATCACATTGTTAGATTCTCCCCGTCAGCCGTACACACGGCTCTGTAGTTCTGCATAGTGGTCCTGTATGGTCTGCGGTGTCCTGTGTGTTTGTACATAGGATGGATGGAGACAGCCTTGCCCAGGTGTAGCGGCTCCTCTCCTGGACTGAATCTGTTCCTCTGATGTCACCGCACACTGTGAGCTTCTCACCATGTGCATTAGAAGCTGCAACAAGTCACATAGAGCTCCGCCATATTTCTTCTGAATATCTCCTCCGAGAGCCGGCCACTGCTTCCATCAGAGCTGAGGGCTCTTGAGAAGAGAGGCAGACTGCTGTGATGTTTTCATGAAGATGTGTACATCACCCTGTAAGCCCCTCCCACCAGCTGTTATCTGCCTACATTGCAGAGTAAAGCACAGAGACCCTGTGATGACTTCACTGGGTCTAATATAAGGTGTGTGATGTTTTTATTTTAAAATGAGAAGCCAGGGAAGACCAAGAGAACAAAGTCAGTACGGGGGAGGAGCCACACTAGACAAGGACCAACCAAATGTCTTCTTTAATCAGGTAAGAGCAGGAACAATGAATGCTGATTGGCTGCTGGGGTTATGGCATGCCGTGCCTGACCCTCTCCAAGTATACGGATCAGGAACTCCACCTGAAGTCTTGGTTTACATATGTGCAGTTGGGGACAGAGCCATCCAGCACCCAGGGCAAGGTGCAACTGCACCCCCTCCCCCACTAGTAATGCATTTTGTGGAATGGGTATACCACCCTACATTCATTCTCTGCCCTCCTTGTTCTGCTGCGCCCAGGGCAGCTGTCCCTCATGCCCACCCCCTTGTCCCGGCCCTGCATGTGCATAATCATGTGTGTTTCCAACCGCACAGAAACATGCAGCTCTTTAGCTGAATCACAAGGGTGCCATTAAAGTTTACCTAAATCCCCGGAGTCTGCATTCACTATATCCACTCTCCCCGGACCCTGCATTCACTATATCCGCTCTCCCCGGACCCTGCATTCACTATATCTGCTCCCCGGACCCTGCATTCACTATATCTGGTCTCCCCGGACCCTGCATTCACTATATCCGCTCTCCCCGGACCCTGCATTCACTATATCCGCTCTCCTCGGATCCCGCATTCACTATATCCGCTCTCCCCGGACCCTGCATTCACTATATCCGCTCTCCCCGGACCCTGCATTCACTATATCTGCTCTCCCCACACCTTGCATTCACTATATCCGGTCTCCCCGGATCCTGCATTCACTATATCTGCTCTCCCCTGACCCTGCATTCACTATATCCGCTCTCCCCGACCCTGCATTCACTATATCCGCTCTCCCCCGGGACCCTGCATTCACTATATCTGCTCTCCCCGGATCCTGCATTCACTATATCTGCTCTCCCCGGACCCCGCATTCACTATATCTGGTCTCCCCGGACCCTGCATTCACTATATCCGCTCTCCCCGTACCCTGCATTCACTATATCCACTCTCCCCGGACCTGCATTCACTATATCTGGTCTCCCCGGACCCCGCATTCACTATATCCGCTCTCCCCGTACCCTGCATTCACTATATCTGCTCTCCCCGGATCCTGCATTCACTATATCTGCTCTCCCCGGACCCCGCATTCACTATATCCGCTCTCCCCGGACCCTGCATTCACTATATCCGCTCTCCCCCGGACCCTGCATTCACTATATCTGGTCTCCCCCGGACCCTGCATTCACTATATCTGGTCTCCCCGGACCCTGCATTCACTATATCTGCTCTCCCCGGACCCTGCATTCACTATATCCGCTGTCCCACAGTACACAGAACATGGAAATGTAATTATTTTAGTAACTATAAACTGATAAATACATTTTCTCATCAGCAGTATGTAGCAGTCTTGTGACTTCTATCCAGCAGAGCACTGGTTAAACCTTATAGGAAGAGTTTTCTTTCTGCTCTAGGATGATGCAGAACCCCTGACCCTCTGTCTGGACAGTGCTGATTGGCCCTGTGCTGATCACATGCACTCTCCCATGAAAAAAAAAAAAAACCTCTAGCAATACACACCCAAACTGAGCATGTGCAAAGTGGCTCCACACGATGTGTGTTATCAGTAGATAAGAGGGGGCACTGGAAGAAGGGGAGGATCAGAGAAGTCAGGATCAATCAGCTTTTTTATACAATGCACAGGATTAACCCCTTAGGCTCCACAGTGAGTATAACAAGCATGCTTTACTGCATCTACAGACTGATTTTACTGCCTTGGGGTTCACATGCACTTTCCCAAGAAAAAAAAAAAAAACCTCTCTAGCAATACACACCAAACTGAGCATGTGCATGTGACTACGGTTCAGTCTGTCTTATCAGGTGGACATCTGAACAAGAGGAGGGGCAGAGAAGACAGGATCAAACAGCCTTTTTACACCATGCAGAGGATTAACCCCTCAGGCTCCACAGTGAGTATAACCAGCATGCTTTACTGCATCTACAGACTGATTGTACTGATGTGGAGTTTAGTAACACTTTTTAATTCTTAATGCCCCCCCCCCCCCCCCCCCCCATACAGACAGGAGAGCTGAGATATTATCAGGGGTCAATGATAAAGTTGGAGCAATGAGTACCGATACTCCTAGGACACAGCGTTCCGCAGTATTACCCCAGAGTGATGAACTATAACTCCCAGCATGTCCAGCAACATGCAGGAATTAAACTTACACCATAGCCTGGCCGCTGGTTGTCCTGTGTGCTCAATACACAAATCATATTTCATTTTCTTGTATCCTTCAGAGCCCCCATTGAGGGTGGAGCTTCCCATGCGCAGCGTCTCTGCCCCTCACATAACAAAGGGCCGGTTATATCTGTAAGACTAGATGTCCAGAGCACCCCCCCTTACATCAGATGTCCCCCCCCCACCTTCAGAAGTCAAGAGTCCCCCTCCCTCCCTTACATCACAGTGCACATCCCTTACTTTGCACTGCTGCCAGGAAAAAGCTGGGGGCACAGCTGAGAAGCAGAAAGTGAAGGGTCTGGAGGAGGACCAGAGGAGGGCTGGAGTCAGTTGCTGAGTCTACTGAATGCTGAGACCAGGGGAGGTGGAGATGAGGGAGGTGTTGCTACTGCACAGAGAGGCGCAGGATCTGTAAGAGGAGTTCTGTCCACCTCTCTGCTACCGACAGCGGAGACAGAGATGAGGGGGGTGCTGCACCTGCACAGAATCTGTAGGAGGAGTTCTGTCCTCCTCTCTGCTGCTGACTTCTGAGACCAGGGGAGGTGGACACGAGGGGGTGCTGCACCTGCACAGAATCTGTAAGAGGAGTTCTGTCCACCTCTCTGCTACCGACAGCGGAGACAGAGATGAGGGGGGTGCTGCACCTGCACAGAATCTGTAGGAGGAGTTCTGTCCTCCTCTCTGCTGCTGACTTCTGAGACCAGGGGAGGTGGACACGAGGGGGGGTGCTGCACCTGCACAGAATCTGTAAGAGGAGTTCTGTCCACCTCTCTGCTACCGGCGACTGCGGAGACTGGGGAAACGGAGATGAGGGGGGTGCTGCACCTGCACAGAGAAGCACAGGACCTGTAGGGAGTTCTGTCCACCTCTCTGCTACCGACTTCTGAGACCAGGGGAAACGGAGATGAGGGGGGTGCTGCAACTGCACAGAGAAGCACAGGACCTGTAGGAGGACTTCTGTCATCCTCTCTGCTGCCGACTTCTGAGACGAGGTGGGGGGGTGGAGACGAGGGGGTGTTGCACCTGCACAGAGAAGTGCAGGATCTGTAGGAGGAGTTCTGTTGTCCTCTGCTGCTGACTTCTGAGACAAGGTAGGGGTGGAGATGAGGGGGGTGCTGCACCTGACCACGGCAATGTGTGATTCCTGTGCGAAATGTCCCACACCGCATTAGTGATAGATCCACTTTAAGGCTTAGTGAGTGAGGTGAAGCTCTGAGACTGATTTCCATTTATTACTATTATTATTTATTTATTTCAGGTACTTATATATATCGCCATCAATTTACGCAGCACTTTACATATATATTGTACATTCACATCAGTCCCTAACCCTCAAGGGGTGTACAATCTAAGGTCCCTAACTCACATTCATACATACACATACTAGGGACAATTTAGACAGGAGCCAATTAACCTACCAGCATGTCTTTGGAGGGTGGGAGGAAACCAGAGTACCCGGAGGAAACCCACGCAGGCACAGGGAGAACTTGCAAGCTCCCAGGCAGGTGGTGCCGTGGTTGGGATTCGAACCAACGACCTGAGTACTGCCAGGCGGAAGTGCTAGCTGTTTAGCCACTGTGCTGCCCATCCAAACATGTGCAAGCAAAAATTGTGGGTTTTTTTTTTTTTTTTTTACATTTTCCTTACAACTGATTGGGTATTTTTCCTTACAACTGATTGGGTATTGTTCACTAAGCTAAGCTAAGCTAAGCTTCATCACCTCATTCACTAAGCTAAGCTTCATCACCTCATTCACTAAGCTCTGGGAAAAATGAATGCAACTGCTCTTACAAAGTGCTTTTAGTAAATCAACCCCAATGTGTCTGCTTATGGCAGTGCCAGCAGCAACCAGAAGGGGGCAGTGGTGAGCCAGTGCTGGGATGACAGATAACTCGGACACCCTTGGAAGGTGCAGTTGTGAGCTTATTGATTGTTATCAGACATAATCAGGACTTTGTCCTCCTTCCAGGTCACGTCCCCCATTGTCCAGCCTGTGTGCAGAATTCCAGATGATGGATTGTCTGAATGAGAATGTTTCATCTAACGTCAGAGAAATGGCAGGTTTTTTTTTTTTATTAAAGGAGAACTCTGCTAAAAATGATCTCCTTCCACACTGTACACAGAATAAAACCTTGTTATCATTCTAGGAAAAACTGCACTCCTTCCGAGGAGCAACGCTTGGATGCTTCCCCCATGTCTCTTATCACCATCAGTCAGCTGAAAGACGCTGCATAGAACAGCTCAAGGAAAACCTTCCCATAATGCAATGCAAAACTCCACCGATTCTCTCTGCGTATACCGCACTGTCATAACAATCTATTTTATTTATGTATATAGCTCTGACATATACCATAGTGCTGTACAGAGATCACTGAGCCAGTCTCTGTACCAGAGGAGCTTACACTCTAATGTCCCCTCCCCCCAGTCATATCAGTCTCTGTACCAGAGGAGCTTACACTCTAATGTCCCCTCCCCCCAGTCACATCAGTCTCTGTACCAGAGGAGCTTACACTCTAATGTCCCCTCCCCCACAGTCACATCAGTCTCTGTACCAGAGGAGCTTACACTCTAATGTTCCCTCCCCCACAGTCACACACTATTATTATTATTATACAGGATTTATATAGCGCCAACAGTTTGCTCAGCGCTTTACAATATAATGGGAGACAATACAGCAACAATACAGTTCAATACAAGAGGGATAGGAGGGCCCTGATCCTGGGAGCTTACAATCTAGCTATTATTATACATTTATATAGCTCTGACATATACCGCAGTGCTGTACAGAGAACACTGAGCCGGTCACATCAGTCTCTGCACCAGAGGAGCTTACACTCTAATGTCCCCTCCCCCACAGTCACATCAGTCTCTGTACCAGAGGAGCTTACACTCTAATGTCCCCTCCCCCACAGTCACATCAGTCTCTGTACCAGAGGAGCTTACACTCTAAAGTCCCCTCCCCTCACAGTCACATCAGTCTCTGTACCAGAGGAGCTTACACTCTAATGTCCCCTCCCCCCACAGTCACATCAGTCTCTGTACCAGAGGAGCTTACACTCTAATGTCCCCTCCCCCCACAGTCCCATCAGTCTCTGTACCAGAGGAGCTTACACTCTAATTTCCCCTCCCCCCACAGTCTCATCAGTCTGTACCAGAGGAGCTTACACTCTAATTTCCCCTCCCCCACAGTCTCATCAGTCTCTGTACCAGAGGAGCTTACGCTCTAATTTCCCCTCCCCCCACAGTCACACACTATTATTATACATTTATATAGCTCTGATATATACAGTTGTGTTCAAAATAATAGCAGTGTGTTGAAAAAAGTGAATAAAGCTGAAAATCCTTCTAATAGCTTTTATTTCCATCCACACAAATGCATTGGGAACACGACACATTCTATTCCAAATCACAACATGAAGAAAAATACATCAAATTTGTGTTGTTCCTCTAAAAAAAATTGAAGAAATATGAATATTAGACGGTTCAAAAAAATCTCAGTGTTTGTATTCTTCTTTACAAACTCCAACATTCACTATATAAACTGAGAAATGTTTGAAGATTTTGCTTTCCTTTGAATGACTTCATGAATATTTGGTTGTAGTCGCACTGTTTCTGAGAACTGCTGTACATCTGTGTTGCATGGAGTCCCCCAACTTCTGGCCCCTGTGATCAGGTATTCCAGCCCAGGATGATTGGACCACATTCCACAGTTCTTCTCTATTTCTTGGTTTTGCCTCAGAAACGGCATTTTTGGTGTCACCCCACAAGTTTTCTATTGGATTAAGATCCGGGGATTGGGCTGGCCACTCCATAACGTCCATCTTGTTGGTCTGGAACCAAGATGTTGTACGTTTACTGGTGTGTTTGGGGTCGTTGTCTTGTTGGAACCCCCATTTCAAGGGCATTTCCTCTTCAGCATAAGGCAGCATGACCTCTTCAAGTATTCTGATGTATTCAAATTGATCCATGATCCCTGGTATGCGATAAATAGGCCCAACACCGTAGTATGAGAAACATCCCCATATCATGATGCTTGCACCACCATGCTTCACGGTCTTCA